GGGGGGGGGGGGGCACTTGGCTTCCCCCGGGGGGTAGTGCCCCCCCCCCCCGAGATATAGCTGAAAGAAACCCTGCTGAGGAGTATGCAAAATACCAGGGAGATGAGAGGCCCGGGTCGCTAAACTTAAGACATGTCTACCAGTGCTGTCTTAAGGCTGGGCACTGGCCCAAGGCCTCAAGCTTCAATGGCCGGCAATTTTAATTTGATTTAAAAGTCAGGGGACAGCACGTTTCCCAATTTAAACTAACGATAGTATCGGCAGACTCCAAAATTGAAAAATGTATTATAAATGCGAATCACAAGTTGGATACTTCTTTAAAAAAAATTAAAAAGTAGTTAAATTATTGGAGAAAAGCATTTCCGTCTTAAGGCGTGGGTACTTTGAGGGGCTGAGTTTGAACCCTAGCAATACTTAAATCTTGCCACTTTGGGTAGATGGAAGGTGACTACTTTGGATGGTAGCTCATTTAATTGAAGGTTGTCGAAGTTGGATGGTAACTCATGTAATGGAGCTTGTCTACTTTGGATGGTAGCTCCTGTTTGTGTGTCTACCTTGGATGGGGTTTTTAGTCATGTTAGAATGACTAAGAATGTTGTGGATTCATGCACCGCTAGGAAATATCACATGTAGGAGAGGGAAAAGTACAAAATGTCATTGTACATCTGACAGCTCCTGGGACGCCCCTAAAAATTGAGTTACCATAGTCCCAAGTTCACTTCCTTATTAGGATAGTTCTACTGAATTTTTTGCCTTGTATATAATTTAATTCTGCATATTGCAGAATCATCTCAATATGTAAATGAAAATCAAATTTGAAGAGTTTGCATTTGCTTGCCATCATTATCCTTTCTAATTTTGTTTTTAATAATTTTCAAATGAACCGTGCAAGGTTGCTCTTGCTCGGGTACCGTACTCAATCAAAGTTCTGATTTTTTGCGGACTATATGAAAATAACATTACACCTGGGACAAAAATTTGAAATCAGCACACATTCCAATTTTTTCCGTTACTACAAATTATTCCCAGTCGAATTATAAGAGGGTTGGACACCGACACAGCTTTTAAATAGATAAAAGAGACCCAATCAATTAGTATAGGTAAAACAACAAATGGTAAGCTTTAATTGTAAATTAAAAACCCATACATGAAAAAGACATTGCAGCTATGTAAAGTTGTGCATTTAGCTTTTACCAGATGACCAACGTACCAATCTTTTTATTTATTTTATTTCCAAATAAATTCTATCACTCGCATACAATAAATATACCAGTAACAGCAATGTCTATATATATAATAGAAATAACCAGCCTAGTGATGGCAGCAGAAATGTGTGAACCACCAACCAGCTAAAGCTACATGAAAAAATATGCATTCAAGTAACGAACTTTATGAGAATCCCAAGTGCTAATTTTATTTTCTGCGTTTATGGAACACAGAGTCACAGCCATACATTACATATATATAACCTAGATTAATTAGACACTAACAATTTTTGTCAATATAACAATATATGTTAAGCTTTATTAATACTTTTACATACAATACACAAATGTTTCGGCATGTGCCTTCATCAGTATAGTATAACAACCAAACATTTAAATAAGTATAAATTAAATTTACATAATATATGCTTTATTGCAGTCCAACACCCATAATTATTTGTCATGTGCATTTTTTTACCATTTTAATCGAGGTAGACACATTGCATTACATGAGCTACTATTGAGTTTTTAAAAAAAAAATTGACACCATCAAAAGTGCCATTTTTGTAAGGTTATATCTGTAAAAGTAAATTACTTAAACTTACACTCAACACATACCCACATATATAGAGAAAAGACTCAATTTTTATTCAAAGGTAAAACATAATTCATTCAATTTTATTGTAATGAAAATGGCATTTCCACACATTTTGAAAAAATAAAAAAGGGAGGTAAAATAAACAAAATGTGTACATTTTTAAAAAAATCACCAAAAATTAACTGATAATAAAGTGTACTTGATAATTATATCAAAATGAAGGGGAATTAAAGGTCTGTGTGCTTAAACAGCTTTTGTACCTATAACTATAACATGTATATTTAAAATACAAATATGGTTAGAAATGTACAGGGGTTCATGTGCAGCAAAACATGAGTCATTTAAAAAAAGAGATACAAATAATCAATAGTTAAGCTAATAATATCAAAATGCAGAATAAGTATAATTACCGGAATGCATATTTAAATAGTCCATTACATATTGATATACAATGCAAGCAGGGCTGGAACAGTGCAATGGTTCACATCCAACAAATAAAAAAATATAAGATGGGTTAGTTATTAATAATAGTACAACTACAAATAAGAAAGTTATATCAATATCTGGCATCACCTAGACTAAACATTCAGTGTACTTACCTATAAATATAAAATTTATTTATACATACATGGCAACGTATTTACTTCTTCTTGGTACCAGGTAATAATTTTTCAGTTAGCTGCATCTTTTCAATTTATAGCTTATTAACTTTTACACTAACTAAGCTTGCAATGCCTTTGTTTCAAGCCTACTACACAAGACAAAGTTATATTATCTTCTGTCTATGGTTAGGGACGACATCAACAATAAATATACGACTCATTAATTTTTTAGAGAGTTAATTGATTTGACATTTAGATAAATAATTTTTTTGTAAAAAAAAAAATAATTAAATTGTCTATCTTCTCTCTCAAATGACATCATAGAACAAAAAAAAAATCTTTTTTTTTTGCTGGCATCCGTCCGTCACAATGTGACGATGGAGTGTGCTTCGGATGACGAAATCCACATGGCCTGGTATTATTATTCTTCAAGGATTATAAGCTGGTTCCCAACAGCAAATCGCCTCTCTCCACGCCGCTGGAGAACCCAAGGGAACATCATTGGATGATACAGCTTGGCACCAGTGACGTCGCAGGAGTTGTCGGAATGTTTCATTGAACCAATGTTATCCGCCTTTCGGGACTCCATCTCCGGGTTTGATTTCAGAGTTTCCTTCTCTTAGATGAGTTGCCATCCAAGGTTAACGAGTCTCATCCACCCGGGGTGCTAGAGGTGTTTTTGCTTGAATTGAACTCGAGACCACCAACGTGAGATTTGCTCAGTTTAGACCACTCGGCCACCCAGCACCCGAAAAAACATATAAATTAATAATAAATTCATTAGTTACTTCCTGCGCATTGTCTTCATTAATTCCAAAAGACAATAGGGTGGGGCTTATGCAATCCAAATCCGAAATTTGATCCACACAATGTAGGCTACATAATCCAATGTTGAAAGGGATTTGTTGATAACTTTTCCCATTCTTTTGCGAACTTTATAACTGAAACTGGTACATCTTTAGTCTGTGAGAAGTAATGAGTCAACAATTTATGTAAATAAAACAATATATGTTAAGCTTTAATTATGGCAAATTATGGTTACACAAATATAAATTCAAAAGTTTCGGCAAATGTTCCATCAGTACAACATAAGACATATAAGTATAAAGTAAATTGACAAAGTATATATCTTATATTATATATAAATCCTGCCTGAAAATGAAAGAAAAGAATAAGAATGGAACAAGTCCCTAATGAAAACAAAGCTCAGGAGAGCAGTTTCGAGCTGAAAAGATATGTTCAGCCTTGAGTAAATTCCTAAAACTATAGACTAAGTCCTAAGACTGAGTAGAAGAAAGAAACATTTATTTCATTGAAATCTAACATTAGGCTCAAAGTTAAAAGCTGATTATATAATTAATTTTTTTTTAAAGGCTGATATATTAAAAAGTTTGAAAATAAAATGTATAAGACATACATATAAATACCATGAACCTTAATAAATTTTTTTAAGATTCATTTTTACTCCCTACCCCACCCTCAACTCCGAAACTGATTATTTTCAACCATTAAATACCATCAATAAATACCTAACCCCCCCCCCTCTACCCTGACTTCAGGAAATCTGCCACCCCTTAGCTACGCCTCTGGCCACAGGCAAATGACACACCCCCCTCCCCGAAAATTTACATAACACCCCTACGTAGCGTAGCCAGATTTAGATGTCATCTACGCCATGGTTTGTAACCGCTGCCATATAGCCTATAGCTTATCTGGGCGAGACCGGACGGCGACTCTCGCACAGATGAACTGAACACCTTCGAAATATTGCTCACGATTAAGTGTCCAGTTTCAAAACCCTTTATTAATTAGAAGCGACCACAAAGCTCCGGCGACTTGGCCACAACCGTCATTTTTTTTTTCTGTACCACAACGTCTGCCACCTTGACACCACATGGCATACATGTCATTTTCTCCTTCACTTGTTAAACCTTTTCTCCGCCCCCTCCTTCTTGAACCCTATCACCGTGTAATTAATTTTCTTCTCTTCCTTCCCCCATTGCCTATATCAACTCTCGAATGGTCTTTTACATTCCTCTTGCTATCCTTTCGGATTATAAATTTCAGCTAAGTGTTTATTTTTATATTTGTATTATTAGTTGTTATATTTTTTGGGGGGTGGGCGAGGCAATTTACCCCACCTGATGGTCGTCTCGCTCTCTTTCTTTCTCCCCCTATTTTATAATAAATTTCTGCTGTGTGAGATAGTGGTTTTGGAGATCTTGTAGTAAAGTCTACTGTTAGTTGTTAACATATTCTAGGGAAAACTGAGATACGTGAACTGAAACTATTATAGTCAACTACTAGTACAAATGTCTTTAATATTTATAACATTGTCTTTTGTATAATTTAACTTTTAAAAAAAAATAAAAAGAATTATATTTTCTAATTATCAAGTCATAATACTGTACTCATGTTTTAAAAGTTAAAGGGACACAATGAATGGGATGTAGTCTCTTAATATCTAATTATCATGAGGGTTATCTGCCTTACTTAGGTTTCCATGGTGTAAGCAATATGGCGGCATCAAGCAAGGTGTTTCAAGTTGCTCTTTACGGACTTATAAATGAAGTCAACTTTATAAAAGCTAAATCATGTGTTGAAGTAATTACTTACGTTTCTAATTAAGTATTTAACAAATAATACATAATTATCACTCATTCTATTTGTCGGTGGCAACGAGAATAGGACAAGTCCATTATCATTCGAAATCAGCACAACTTAAACTTTTAAATTTAAACGGTACAAGTACCATGCATGGCGATACAATTTTTACAATCATACAAGGTAGGGTAAAGCCTGAAGTTGCGCCTAAAGTAGGGTGACCAAATCATGAACTGGAAAAAGTGGGACACACCCAAGGAGGGTTTGGGGGGATACCCTCCAGTTAAAGAGGGGGGGGGGCCCTCCACCAGAAACTGTTTATAAAGTTTCTTGAAATCTTTTTAAATTTATCTTCACTTTTGTAATTTAATTTAAACTCTGGGGTATATCATAAACAAAACTATAATTTTGCAGTGAATACTTATTTATTTATACATATTATACAACATAATACAACACAACAAATTAAATTTCTCTAGTCTAGAATTTAAATTGAGGATATTTTGACGAGTCCCAGCCACTGTTAAAACCTCCTTCTTATCTAATATAAAGTTGTAAAAACTAGAACAGTCCATTTTGAAATTTTAGAGAACTTGCAGAGTTGCAGAAAGAGTCTCCACTCTCATATTGTTTTGCTATGCATATATGATCTATGGCAGGCACATGATCGATTACGCAGCATCGGCAGAGTGGTGCAGGGGGAACAGTGCAGCCATCATGCCAGCCCACATCACAACTGGCACTGGCTACACAGCTAGCCAAAATATTACTTGAAGTTATATTATAAATTAGGAAGTTTTAGTGATTTGAAAATGTTTTTGGTTTTTGAAACAGGACATTTTGGCGTCCCGAGAGACTTTTTCGGGACACCGGGTACAATCATGAAAAAACAGGACAATCCCATTTGTACAGGACATTTGGTCACCCTAGCCTTAAGTGAAGAAAGACTAGGAAAAAGTTGCTTAGAAGCCTTCGATAGCAAAATAAATTGTTAGCAGAAGGGTCCACATTTTGGTATTGTCTTTCTTCAGGTTTTCCCTACCTTTTGTATATTTCTAATTCAAACTTATTGCTTCAACCTAGGCCTAAATAAAGTGCCTAAAGGCAGCCCTCCCAATCATACATTAGATACTTTTAGTCCAACTGCTTACTGTCTCTTAGTTACTCACTCACTGTCTTTTATTTTTATTACGGTACTTTTTATTATAGTTTCAAATTCAGATCGACGACTAAGTGACTAGACTTGATTTTTTAAATTTAACTTACTTTTGTTCAATTATTTATCAGAACACATTCAGCATTATGGCTTCATTGTTTATTTAATTTGATTTTTTTAAAAATAATTATAATAATGCCAATAGCGAGTAATAGTATAGATATGATTGTAAAGCGCTTAGAGCTTCATGATAAGCGCTATATAAAAATGCCTAAATAAATAAATATGAACCAAAATTTCTCTCTTCACTCAGTAGCCTTAACTAGGGATATTAAAAATATTAAACCGATAATCAGATTTGAAACCGATTTACGTGATTATACCTTGCTTTGACAAAATTATATTATCTGATTAACCCAAACCTCTAATGTCATCTACCCAAATTCTCACTTGCTACTGCCCATATAACTACCATTTGTCTTTCATTTTACTTCATTGCTCAGGGTGCCTAGCAACTTAACTTTAACTCCCACAAAATACAACAGTTAAAATTTACTACTGTTATCACAAGGACATCCCCCTTCTATTTTAAGGAATCCTATTGATTTTCTTTTCTTTTTCTACTGAAATAGTACATAAGGAAACAGCATCAGCAAACCATCAAGCTTTGTACTTAGCTCTTTATGCCTCCCAAAAGCATCCCTCCTAAGCCTGGTATCGGGCAGTGAAGTGGCACATTTGAGATATCCCATTGCCAAGACAGCCCTTGACAGCACCTGCTGGATCATGTACCAACGGAGGCCACCCCAGCCCAGGGACATCCGGTCAGTCAGTGACGCTGCTCTCACAGCATCAGCAGTCGACTTTCTTATGAGTCGGGATGGTATATTTACATCCTAAAATCTTCCCCCTCCCATCCCGTGGAAGCGTCAGACACCCTCTAATATGGATTTCCAAAGTGGGTTTCTACCTTGCAACTAATTAACAAAGCAGCTGGGATGAAATGCTTGCCTATGAACAGTTTGCTCAAGTGCTTTGTAAATAGAATCATCGACATGAGGTTGCCACTACCCAACCCATGTCTCATATTCATTAACGGCAACATGTAATTATGTTCCCTACCCTGTTTCTGCCTTAAATTCCAACTGAAGATTTTCCACAGTTGGTAGCTCTGTAGATGCTACAATTTTCAACACATACCAAGCATGTCCCTCATCTGCCAAAGCAGGCACACACAATGGTGGCTTTGATCCTCGGGTAACACCTGGGTATCAGTGGCAGTGCCTCTTTAGTCAGCAAGCCACTACAGACTTGCAAACCAGAGCCCAGTAGGCATTTTTCTTCTAAGTTACAAGATTAGATATAAGTGTAGTATTGCTTTTCAAGCTCATTCATAATTTACAGAAAGCTTAGAATAAAGACGATAAAACTATTGAACAGATTAATTTAGACTCTATTGAAATTAATGCAGTAAGTGGTATTTAGAACATTATCCTATTGTCAAATATAAATTTGAATTGGACTGTAAAATTTCATCTATAATAAATATCATCTGTGTGTGATGATGACAATGGCAATAAACTTGAGAAAATGTACCACTATTGAGCTTTAGATATTAAAATTGAAAAATTATTGCTCAACCTTTAAGTACTTAAGCAGTGTAATCAAGATCAGTCCTAATTTGCCAGTGAAAACTTCATACTTGCCAAGTTATACAGTTTACCTGTGTAGTTTTTAAACTTTTGCTGAGGTGTACCGCACTACAGGCTTTTGTACAGTTTTTCAGTGGATTTAAAAATTAGATATTTTTGCGCAAGATACTCATTCAAAACTGGTGGTACAATATATTCAATGTTGAACAACAAGAAGCTTAGTTCTTATTATTCCATTTAAAACTACCATCTCAATTTAGAAACAGTACAGTTTCATTGATACCATTCATTAATACTAAGACAGCAGACAGTTTAGTATGTTAGTTAATACTTTGAGTAATAAATGATAAATAAAAATCCGTTTGTGTCATTTTTAAAAAGAACTGCAGTGTTAATAAGTGTTTTTAAATTTCTATTAGATAATTAAAAGATAGTAATATTACTATCAATCAATGAATGACTAGCATAATTCATTATTCCTATTTATTAAAACAGCATGGCTTAATTTAATGTCTTACACTTCCTAACACTAATAACCTAATTTAAATACAGCAATCTCTGTCACTACAGTTAGCATAATTATACGTATTATTATCTATCTTCATCTAAATCACTATCAAATTCACAATCTGAGTCCATGTTTAATACAATTTCTATTGACCAGTTTAAAAAACGAAAGTATTCAGACTTAAAACTAAGCTATTTTTAGTTAAAAGATGTGATGTGCCCATATTTTATGAATAATATAAAGATGTTTAAATGTGTGCGCAGCAAAGGATAGATTGTTTTATATTTTATTTATTGATGCATCAGACCTGTTTACTCTTATGATTTTGGCCGTCAATGTAAGATTCTGAGGTGTATACATGTTTATTTTTTTAGTATTAAGATAGTGTATTGAATGGTTTTATGATGATATTGTACGATTTTAAGAGTTTGAGGGTAAACAAGTCTGATACATTCAAAACATTGATGAAATTAATGAAACATTTATAAAATATATAATTATACTTTATTTTTTTTACTTTTCTTTTTTTTTCTGTACAGTTTTTAATGCTTTTGTACATATTTTTTGTTAGTTTTTTGAACAGTTTTTTGACCCCCCACAGATTGACATGCATGAATGCTCATTCAGTGCATAAGACATATGTCTTAGTCTTCTTAGCATTCTAGTCTTAGCATCTTAAAAATGAGGAGGACACTGAATAATTCCTTGAAATTTGAAAAAATGCAATTGATGCTAACCATGACCACTCACGTTTCCAACTTTAATTTTTCTAAAATGAAAATTTGCTACTGGTATTTTACTTGAATGTTACGCTCTATTGTTAAATTACTCAATGAAGTTGCCATTACTTTTTTTACCCAATATTGTAGTTTTGCTAAAATAACAGTTTCTACTGGTACATAGAAATAATTAAATTTGTTTAAATTTTATTACAAATCCTAATCAATATACATAAGTTAAGTTTGTTCAGGCAAACAAAATAAATTCTATATTACAGGATTTATTCCTGTTAATTTACCCACCCACATGTACCCCTCTTGCAACACCCATGCTCTTGACAATGGAGACAAGTTTTCAGTTAAAGTTTAATAAATATAACTTACGGTAATTTTATATTAAATCACAGGACCTCAACAGGAGGAACCCAGAACTATTCCCCAACCCCATCATACTTGGCATGCTACAGTGTGACTGGGATACATACATTGAAAATAAAAGAAAGGTAACTATGTTCTTCGGCTACATTATAATTTATTTGTCCAGAACATTTTCTATTAAAAACTAGAAATAACCGGCTAACATTGGCGGCAGAAATCCACTAATTGCCCATCTACTAAAGTTACTTGACAAAACATGCATTATTTAATTGTATTTTTGTTGTACTGATGAAGGCATGTGCCTAAACATATAATTTTGTATTCTGTAAACTTATTATTAAAGTTTAACTTATATTGTTATTTTGACACACATTGTTGGTGTCTAATTAATCTATTCAAGAAACACACTTTATAGGAATCCTAATTAGTGCTAACTTCTGGGAGTTTTATTTTGTGCACCTATTGAAGGCAGCGTTACCGCCATATGTACATACCCAGAGAATTATTATGTGTGATTAATTTGTATCAATTGTCATAATATGCAGTGAGTATATACACTTGCTTACAAATTATTTATCTTATTCAAAACCCAACTATGAAATGAATTTTCCTAATTAAATTCATTTTAAATTATAAATCTTAAATGAAATATTTTATGTAATTCTAAAAATAACTAAATTAGAGGCCATGAATGATCATGCAGATCCATGGCTCCACCATTCGGTAGAGCTATGGATCTGCAACTCTGTGACAGCTGGGTATGGGAGGCAGTCGCTTTAAAAGGTTTTTGGGGCACCTTGTTTTGGGATACAATCCTTTATATTGCATGGAGGTGGAACTAAACAAAGCTCCACTGTGTAATTTAACTTATATTGATGCAGTTCCATTGATTCTGTGCAGAGGCCACCTAATATATACTTAATACCTTTTTTAAATCCATAAACAGTTTATAATTTGAGCTGCTTAAATTATAAACTGTTTATGGATTTAAAAAAGGTATTAAGTATATATTAGGTGGCCTCTGCACAGAATCAATGGAACTGCATCAATATAAGTTAAATTACACAGTGGAGCTTTGTTTTTGATTTTTTTTTCTTTAATTTGAGAAGGCCTAAAATATTTTCTTCATGCAAAATGAACATAAAATTTGATTTTTTTAATGTGATAAAATATTTAAAAAATGTGATTTAAGTTATTTTAAATTCACAGGAATTACGAGGTGAAGCATGGGGCTTTAGCGATAAAGCTATTGCTTTTGTAAATGGAGCATTAATAGGAGGCCCTGATGATTTCATTAGCTGGGCAGAAGATAACCACAACTATGAAGAGTACAGACCAGAGCCTCTGTATTTTACCCTCACAGAAGAAGCATACAAAAAAAAGCTTAATTCTCAAGGCCATGATCATGTTTTTCTGGATATTGCAATTAATGATGAATTCATTGGTGGCTTAGTAATTGAGGTACAATATTATTAAATGAAGGAACCAACTTTAGCAGCCAAAACTTGTCAAACTCCAAACATAATAACCAGTAACAAATTATATTGATAAGATTTAAAGTTTAACTACTTATTTTTATTATTAACGGGTCTCTGAAAACATAATTTTTTGTGTCTTTTGACATGTTATTGGTTTATATGTAGCAATATATATTCAATGATTTTAAAAGATATCTTTGTAATAAATTTTAGGCTGTTAGAGTTCTGGTTGATCTTTAAATCTATTTTGACCCATCTTGACTTTTTCTTCGTAAGGCCTAATAGAATGTTTTCTATGAACAGTTGTTTTCTGACATTACACCCAAGACTTGTGCCAATTTTTTACTGCTCTGCTCGGGTGAGAAAGGAGAATCAATAGAGACTGGATACAGATTGTGCTATGAAAATTCAATTTTCCATCGTATAGTTAAAAATGGATGGATACAAGGGGGAGGTTAGTTTGATTGAAATTAATAGTGTTTATTAATAAATTATGAAGCCCTGATATGCAAAGCTATTCAAAGATATTATGTTTAACTCATCAGATTCTCTTATTCCTTTAGTGATTTCTTCTGAATCAAACATTAGAGTGTATTCAACTATATTTTATTTTCACTTTTGAATTACAGATCTCTACCAGGGAAGAGGAAATGGTGGCGAGTCTGTTTTTGGTCCAGTTTTTGAAGGTAAAAGTGATGTTTTGTAAAGTTTACAATATTTGAGGTGCAACTCAAGTAATGCTCAAAACAAATAATAAGTGTTATAAATGACTTTTTAAAAAAAACAGATTCTTTCTAAAAATATAGCTTTTATTTGAATTCCTATAATAATATTATTATTGTTAAAATGAATTTCACCAATACTTATGCTCTTGAGATGGTTAAAACCAGCAAATCAGAACTCATCAAGATATATTTATTATTGGTTTTTCTAAAAAATCATTATTTGAGTCTTTGACCTAGTTAATCCTGAGTTTACACTTTGTCTAGAAGACAATTACTGTATGTTTAAAGGTGCTAAATAAGACCACTGTAATAATAATAATAAATAAAATTTAATAGTTTATATTTATTCATTTATATAGATGAGAATTTTGTTATCAAGCACAATGAACGGGGCATTGTTGGGATGGCCAACAAGGGTAGACACACTAATGGTTCTCAGTTCTACATAACACTTCAGCCCTGTCCATGGATGGATACTAAATATGTTGCTTTTGGGTAATATACAATTTCTTTAAAGTATGTGCTTATTCCAAACAGCCACATTTTTTAAACTGTGAGCTAATGAGTCAACATATTTCAATTAGAAAATTTTTAAAATATAAAACTTGCATAAGTAAGTATACACAAAAACATGATTTCATTTTAGCCTACTTTTGCACAAATTTATCATTTCAGAAAAGTTATTGAGGGAACTGAAGTTTTGAAAAAGATGGAGGAACAAGACACCACTAATGAGCGCCCAAATGCAGAAATAAAAATAGTGAAGTGTGGAGTTATTCATTATGAGTTTTGATTGTCTAAATGTTAGAAATCATTGTAAATATCACTTACTTCCACTATAATTATTTAACCACACAATGTTTCTGAAAAATCTCTGCGAACATTCAGATTTTTATGCTGTCATCATGAACCGTGACAATGTTGTACCACATGTGTTTTGTAAGCTTTAACCATCTAAAAGAAAGTGATAAATTTTAACTAACCCATTAATTAAAATGACTTAATCTGTCATAATTTCTTTTACCCTCTCTTGTTTTTTTTTTTATAGTACTTATTTGCATTTCATAAACCATTAAAAAATTGTTTAAATGATAGGATCTTGGAAATCTCTCTTCTTCTTCTGTATGCTTCTACTGGGGAGTCTTGGAGAAGTGCTAATGGTGATCGGTCACAAGTTCTGAACCTTTAGTGGACTTTTAGGGTGTCCTTTAGGGTGTCCTTAACACAGTCATTCCACCCTTGGTGTGGTCTGCCTCTGAAATCAGAATGCCTGCTTTTGTAGGTTTTGCTTTGCATTGTGACCATGTTCAAACGAATTTATTTTCTGGTGGGCTGTATACTGGGGTCAAAACCATTTTTCTTAATTCCTCGTTCAAAATGTGGTCCCTACCCATTTTACTAGCTGCTCGCCTTAAAAATCTCTTACTTAATTTTCATAAAATTAATGATTGATTATAATGCTTACATGTAAAATTTAAATTTTATTGCTTAAAACACGAAGAACTAATTTTTAAAAGTTTCTTGGGAGTCTCCTGAAATTATATTAATTGCAAATGACTTGCATACAAATGTGATATATATTCTAAAAGCTAAAAAAAATTTGTTGAAAACATTTTTTTTGGCCTTATTTTGTTACTCATAAATATGATGTCAATCCCTCAAACACATAATTCAAAAAAAAAAAAAAATTCAATTTTGAGTTTTTATCAAAGTATTTTTATATATATTGAGGCCATAGGCCATATTATTTTGCACATTTTTGCATACATAAAATTTCAATAGCATAAAAAGATTAATTATGACATGATAACTGTTGGCCTGCAATGTTCTAAATTCTTCAAAGCACTAAAGAAATATTCTTAGATTACATTATTTAGATTATATTATTATAGGTGCTATCTTATCTCAGTTTACTGATCCTCTGCTTTTTAGGTAAATGCCAAAATTAGTGAAATGTTTTCCTACAATCTTTTCTCCCTTCATTCTAACCTCATGTAATACTTCAGTGAAAATTCATACACATGGATTTAAAATTGCTGATAATTATATTATTATAAAAATGGCCAAAGTATTGAAGTTTTAAACATTCTTAATTTGTTGAAATGAATAAATGGCAGACTGGCTTTACATTATACATAAATTTATCATAAACAAAAATATATTCTTAAAGGTGCAGGGTGATCTATGCCAAAATAAATAACAAAATGTATGTTATGTTACAAGTTTATGATGTCATTTTAAGGATGAAATTGTTCATGAGATGAGTTTACAAAAATTTGTTATCTTATAATAACTTAGTCTTATATAGTGAAGTATCAAAGTCTATGGCATGATTTTTTAAATTTTCTTTTGCATTCTTCCAAGAATTGAAACATAAGTCTAAATAAGAATTTTAAAAACTAATTGTTAATTTATGTTTATAAGCGAGTGCTAATAATAATTATTAAAAACCCGATTGAATGTTTAAATGTAAGTGTGCATAATAAAGGGGTGTACAAGAAGTATTAGTATTTGGATGCTTTTGTTAAATAAAATATATTCTTTAAACAGCACAAGTGCCTCTGTTAGAAATAATTATTACTATCTGCTGTGGTGAATCAAGAATGGAAAAGCTATTTTAATGATGATATGATATGGTAGAATCTGCATTCAGTCATTCAGTTCAACACTTTGAATGAAAAAGAAAGAAGAACATGCCTGACTTTGGACTAAAGGCAATGAAAATGATGTTTCAGCCAAAGGCCTTCATCAGCAAACAAACAAAAATAAGACTAAAATCAGATTCTGATAAATTTAAAAGAAATATTTTAACCAAAGACTTTTTAAACAAAGACTATTAGAAATAACCTGGAAATTCAAGTCATAAAGTTACAATGGACCAAAAAAGAAAACAATAGAATTTTAGGTATTAGACAGTACTTAATTGAAAACTGCAAATAATATGTTAGGGTACTTTTTACTTTAGCTTTAAACATTAAAATTCAACATCATTTGCCATTTAATTTCAATTAATGAAATTATAAGATCATGAAGGCTCGAATGTTCCACGGTATATACCACATAGTTCTTTATATGCTTCAATGTTGACAAGCTCCTCCAACACGAAGCCTCAGACCAAGAGCCATAAAGTGCCATGAGAGAATAGGGGGAGACGCTACTGTCTCATCCGTAGGCCTATATAAATTCAACGCGTCAAGTGTTGACCAATATTTGGCTTCGTCAACATTTGCTGCTGTGCATCATTATCCTGTTATTTCAATTATATTTTATTCTCATTTGCCGGAAAATGATAAAACGTGATATGCTACACACGTATCCAGGCGTTCTGTAACCTGATTAAGTTGTAGGGAGGCATAACTCATCAGTGTATCGGCCTGAAGCAGGTCTGCACAACATACGGCCCGCGGGCCACATGCGGTCCGCCAGCACCCACGTTATGGCCAGCGAAGTAACGAAATATTCCCTTTTTGATATTATTATTATTAATATTTATTAATATTTTGTTAATAGCTTTCCCCGATGTCATATTTTCTTTCAGCCCGCGCAAGTATTATGGCCCGCGTTACATTTTATGTTGTGCAGGCCTGGAGCATTCTGTTCCAAAATAACCTCATTCTGATGACTGTGTGTTAAAATCCCCTGGCATAATGGTCTTTTCAAAAACCATGTTGTACCCTACTTCATGGTAAGGTGATGGGGTTTCTGGGTGTATTGTACAAGTTCTTCATTGTAATGGCTCCGTCCTTTTTGAATACTCTCACGGTGAGAGTGTACACGCTGCTGTATTTTTTTTTACGACTTCCACTATGGAGATCGTTGCGAATCACTGTGGTGACATCGGGGACACTGCAGTGGTAGGGAGAGTAAACTGTGTTATGGAATGGCTTGCCCGCAGCAACGTTTCTCGGAAGGGTGCTACGTACACGTCCTTTTTGTGGAATAGCTTGGTTACTTCATCATCTTCTGTCCTATACCACACACACATTCAGTTGTAGGACTATCAGGGTTTGGGTATGGTGACCCCTCGCACAATTTCGTTCAAGGTCAGTCCCGTGTTCTCCTTGCGCCGGTCGGTCATTAAGGGCGTCGTTTCATTTTTTTTATCAAAGTGTGTGAGGGGGGGGGAGAGGGCAAAGCCAATATTTTGTCGGCTTGTTAAGTTGTTTATTACTTGAGGCGTCACAGTACATCACCATATAATAAAAACATGCATAGTCGGTTATTAAGGGCGTCGTTTCTTTTTTTTTATCAAAGGGTGTGAGGGGGGGGGGGAGAGGGCAAAGCCAATATTTTGTCGGCTTGTTAAGTTGTTTATTACTGGAGGCGTCACAGTACATAACAATTTAATAAAAACCTGCATATTTGGGGGGGGGGATGCCCCACCCTGCCTAAAATGACGCCCCTGTCTATCATTCGTCACCGGCGCGAAGGAGGGACCCCCTCTCTAAACCCAGCAGTGTCGAGGGGAAGGGTGTCACTGTGGTAATGATACGGTGGTAATAATCACGGCAAACCCAGAAGCCCTGCAGCCCAAGACAACGCAAGTGTAGTGCCTCCACCAATGATGTCCCGCCGATCAGAGCGCATCGCAAATCAAGAGAAACATAAGTGACGCAGTAGCACCGTACACAGGCACGTTTTGTTTAGACTTTATTTCAATCGGATGCCACTGAAGATGATCCTTTCAATTATTAGCGCCGGCCCTGCCTCTTTCTCTACTCCCTAATGTCAAACCTTTCCTGGAGTCATCTCTATCTGACGCCATACCTTTCCTGGAGTCGTCTCTATCTGACGCCAAACCTTTTCTGAATTCATCTCTATCTGACGTCAAAGTTGTTCTGGAGTCATCTCTATATGACGCCAACTCTTTCCTGGAGTCATCTCTGTCTGACGTCAAAACTTTTCTGGAGTCATCTCTATCTCACGTCAAAGCTTTTCTGGGGTCATCTCTATATGACGCCAAATCTTTCATGGAATCCTCTCTATCTGACGTCAAAGCTTTTCTGGAGTCCTCTCTATCTGGCGCAAACCCTTTCCAGGAGTCATCTCTATCTGACGTCAAAGCTTTCCTGGAGTCATCTCTATATGACGCCAAATCTTTCCTGGAATCCTCTCTATCTGACGTCAAAGCTTTTCTGGAGTCCTCTCTATCTGGCGCAAACCCTTTCCAGGAGTCATCTCTATCTGACGTCAAAGCTTTCCTGGAGTCATCTCTATATGACGCCAAATCTTTCCTGGAATCCTCTCTATCTGACGCCAAAGCTTTTGTGGAGTCCTCTCTATTTGACGTCAAAGCTTTTCTGGAGTCCTCTCTATCTGGCGCAAACCCTTTTCTGGAGTCATCTCTATATGACGCCAACTCTTTCCTGGAGTCATCTCTATATGACGCCAACTCTTTCCTGGAGTCATCTCTATCTGAGGTCAAAGCTTTTCTGGAGTCATATCTATCTGAGGTCAAAACTTTTCTGGAGTCATCTCAATATGACATTAAAACCTATCTGGAGTCATCTCTATTTAACGTCGGGATGAAAGTTTATTTCAACATTAAAAAAAAAAAAAAATGTTTATTTAAGCCTATTTTTTTTATTTAAGCCTATTGTTTATTTAAGCCAATGTTTATTTAAGAGTCTATCGCTTTCTGAATCATTTTCTCAATTTGACATTCATACATTTGAAGAATGGGCGAACATTTAAATATATTTTAAAGTCCTTTAATTTAGATCTTGACCAACATGGCAATATCATGATTTAAAAAAAAAAAAGTTGCCCTTAATTTTACTCTTAAGCCTTTAATATTCGTGGCACACCACTTGGGTTTAAGCTTATTCAGATCACTTTGTTATGCCAAGGTATTTAAGGATGGACTGGAATGCGCTCACAAGAGGGATTTCAAACGTGGGTTCTTTGTTGGTTGTTTATAAGACTTCTTGTGCCTAAAATTATAAAAGGGTACATTTGTTAATTTACCAGAAATGCTTTGCGAATGCCAAACTTACAATCATAATAATCATGTAAACAGACCTACTTGGAAATTTTGAGGCTGTCCCACTTACCGTCGTCCGTCTCCGAGGATCTTGGTGTTTTGTCTTTCATGACGTCGTCTCACTTGCACTTCAGTCCAATCAAACTCTCCACACCCTCACAAAATCCTTTCCAGTTCCCAATATTATCTCATGTCTCATCTTTCATCGTTTTTAAAATAGAGTATTCCTCAATTGTAATACCCGGACTCGAACAAAAAAAGGACACCAGACTTAGTCACAATTCGTGCTCTACCCTTGAACTTGTAACGTGCATGGGGCAGAACCCCCTTATGAGCGTTCAGACATTTTTATGTCTGCTAAATTAAATATATTTGTGGATCCGTATGTCATTATTGCTGTGAACTAGATTTAGGGGCGTGAATATTGGTATGAAAGTTGTTGACCGCGAGAGCGTTTCTTGGGAGGCTGAGAATGTGGGGGTCAGATCGAGTGTATGCTGGGTTCTCGTTGTGAGGAGACAAGAAGGTAGTCTGGGGACAGGGAGGGAGTAGTGTGTTAGGTTATGTTGGAGAGTGTTCTTACGTGTTTTGAGAGAGGATGGTCGTGAACTCAGATTGGAGTGTCAGTGTTTGCTGTGAGCAAGGAGTTTTTCCATTATGTGCAACTAGTTGGTTTGAGCATAGTAGAATATTTAAGGAGAACTTGTACATAAAAAATGTGTTATTTTCACACGGCATTGTTACTTATTATAGTGTCCAAGTGTGGTCATGGACGAAAGCATTCCATAGACATTATTGTTTCCCTAGACAACAAGTGGATCTTATCAAACTGTCTTTAGAAAAACAAAAGAAATTATCACGCACCAAAAGACTTGCGATATTTTTAAGAATAGTCAATAGTCTCTGTTGGCAAAAAAACATAATTAGAACGGGTTCGTTTTCAGGGGCGTGGCGAGAGTGTTTGGCGCCCGGGGACAACATTCGCGCCCAGGGAAAGATTCATTTTAAAGCGCCCCCTTTTCTTTTTCAACTCTCAAACCCATTATTTTCATCGATAAAATAATATAAAAATACATTTTGGCACCCCTAACTAGCAGGCGCCCGGGGACACCCCCCCCTTCTTCGCCTCTGTGCGTATTTCTGTTGTTTTTTGTGCGAAGATAAGCTTGTATAAAATAATATTTTGTAGTAGCAAAAGTGTGTATAAATATTATTAAGCTGATTTAGCAGAAAAATGTTGTGATTTAAAAAAAGAAAAACAACTGATTGTCCAACTTGGATGATGCAGGAAATGTTAATGGATTAGTCTCATGTTTTAAATATACAATATCAAGAAGCACTCGCAGAAATACAAAATGATGAGTCTGTTGAAACTTTATTAAATATAAAAGGAGCAATGGCATGGCTTTGTGAGGAAACAGAAATCAAGTAGCCAAATTCGACCAAATGCGCAAGACAGCTATTGTAACCATCTTCATATTTAGCTGAATGTGGATTTAGTGCCATACATGATTTGCTGCTAAAAAAGAAAATAAATTGGCTGGATATAACACAGCGGGGAGACTTGAGGCCGAGGATATCTAATTTGGAGCCTAACATAAAATCTATGTGTAGCAATGATCAAGTGCAAGTTTCTCACTAAATTAGTTATCCCACGCTGTACTTGTGATCTCT